ACCAGCGTTGCTCATACTCAACATATTCCCTAATCTACCAATTTCAAGAGCTTCACTTGTCAGTCCGTTATCACCTTGAAAGAAATATGATAAATACGGCTCTTATGCAAGCTATACTGGTAGCCTTTAAGCTGACATAAAAAGAAAAATTCGTAACTTAGTGGTTGCTTAGAGCTTACGCAAAAATGGCTTCTAGCCTTGACGATGTACTTCAAGTGGTGGGCGCAAGATTGGTACGTTCTCACTCGAAACGAGGGAGGATGTCTCGTGGAATGCATCAATCCGAACGGCAGCAGAACAACGGGGACTAGTCATCGTCTTCTGGTGCGATCTGCCTTTAAACCTCTTCATCATGCACTCTCATACGAAATGAAAGTCTCCATGACAGTGTCAGCTCGAGAAATTCATCGAAACCCCCTCATTCCTTGTATATAAAAACATTTTATGTCGATGTAGGAGCTCGAGTATGAGATGCAACGCCTGTCGAGTTCTTGGATAAGAATCAAGTTGGCTCTTGGCAGGACAATAGCCTGCATTCTGAATTGTCGCTTTATTTTAGCCCCATGTAAGTCCACAGGCTAGCAATGGTATATATAATGAGCTTCCACTGCGATTACTGGTAAAATTGGGCGGAATCTTGAAAAAAAACTACGAAATAGTAATAAGGGTTGCCTTCATAGGCTTCTTATCAGTTTTAGCAAAAGAAATCCACTATGATAAAGATAAGGTCAATACATTACTTCATGACTCTCTTTATTAGCACTAGACGGAGACAAAAATTATTAACATATGACGACCAAGATGTTGTAGCCTCTGTTATAGTCGCAGTCTCCTTTCGATTGATAGAAGTGGGTTCACCTCGTTGTCGCAACTTGATCTAGTTGTCAGGGCGACTGCTGTGGACTAGGTGCTTTCTGCATAGTCGCCCTGACAACAAGACCAAGTTACGATAACGAGGTCAACCCACTTCTAAAAATTATAAAGTTCAAACACCCAAATCCCAACACGTTTATTTCCCTCCATTCATCCACGAGCACAAAATCTTGACCTGAGATGTTCGATATGAATATCAGTAAATGCTTACCAATCTCACTTGGGACAAAATCACAAATACAATAATTGCTACTTACGGCTTGTACTTTTATCAGGAGAAGATAGGCCTTCGACTAAGTATGCATCCTTGAATAATGACTCGGTCAGCATAGGTCGCTTGAGGTGATTTAAGGTATGATAGTTGAGTTTTTCCATAATAAAATAATTAGAACTCATTATGCAATTGCATTCCACACTTAGCCCTACCTCCTAAAGGCCCTCTCGTCCAGACCAAACTGGTAGCCTCGACAACCTAAGTGATCTAGTCGATCGCTTGACCTCATCGACAATCCTACCAGAGAATGTAGAATGAGAAAATGCCAGGTCTTCCTTGAAATTCACATTTGCCCCGTGACCAAAGGGCATTCGTGGCAATACGGCCTATTTGTTAATGTGTCGAGATTATACGCTGCCCTGTAATGGTTTGAGTCCCGCTAGGGATGCTGAAGAAGCCTAAGCGAGGTCGAAACTGCAGTCCACTCCGGCCTGAATGAGAATACCTTTTGGCAAGCAAGGCTATGGGAAATTCAATGTAAAAGTAAAGTGGAAAATTCAACTACCAGTCCTTAATCACCTTAACGAAATATGGTGAGGTGATCTCGTATATATGATCTTCTGTCAGTCTCGAAAACCCACTTATCAACTAGTTTCAGCCTCTCCTGAACCGGCCTCATCAGCACCCACAACACGATCTGATACAGGATCACGAATATCGAGGCAGCATTACCACTTCACTACAATGGCACAGATTAAAGCGGGTCACAGGAGAAGCCAAATTTTTCCCAACTCACGTTAACAGTGGAACTGTGGCTACGCCAGACACCAACTTAATGTCGTAATCAAAGATGCAACTTATTTATGATGTAAGTAGTTTTTGAGACTATCACTAGTTCTTGGATGAGAACTTAATTAGCCAAGGTCGCTGAAGGTGAATTAATAGATTATATTTGCGTTTTCCCACGAAGAGTTGAGTAGACATCATGATATCATTGACGATCTTTGCACAAATGTTTCTGATTTCGTATAATTGCTCAGGACACACTAATATATATATATATATATATATATATATGGCTATACATAGTCAGAAACTTGAATCGTTTTCTGACTCAGGAGAGCCAAACGACGTCAGACCAATAAGAACACACGATATTTTTTTGGTGAGCTAGGTCTATCAATCCCCTTAGCATAAACTTTCACTCGAACTGAAAGTCGAGTCACAACGATTGTTGTGTTTTATCTACCAGTCCAAGCATAATGCATTGTATCGAATGCAAATGGGGAAATATCAATCTTACTGAAAAGCAATGTGCTATAAACTAGTGAAATAAAGAAGAGGAAATTCCACTAATACTAAAGAAAATAAGAAGGAATGTTAATTGTAGGTATGAAGACGAATAATGCGCTACATCTAATATCAGTTCTGTACTATGATCCACTGGAATCCGTGGCTATATGTTGTGGTGGCAACATTTTGAAAATATGCTCCGCAATGTCAGAGCCTAATTCCCGTTTGGGATGTTGCTGAGATCCCGATGAGGTCGAAATTCCCGCTCAGCCTGAATAAGATTACCTTTTGGACGGTGGGGCTAACCAAGATTCACTGATACTATTTGGCCTTAGTGGGAAAATTTAACCATCCACCTTTCCACATCTGATACGACCTAAAGCGACTACATTTCTTATACAAACTTTAATATCCATAATTTTAGCAAAGGTTCTTTGTGGCTCAGTTGGGGATTCCACCTTGTCAATTGCTGAACACTTAACGGCCAAACTGGTGTGCTCGGTGGATAAGCGACGTCGATCGTGCGTCAGCCGATCCAGTGAAGCCGTCAGGGTCGTATTCTCCTCCTCCAGTCCTTGCGCCGCCGCTCGAAGAGTCTCCAGTTGATTTTCGATGGAAACATTCTCAGTAAGTAGGCGCATGGTGGACTCGGGAGCTTGAGCCGAGGAAGACTTCCTAAAGTCGCTTGCCACCTGTACGCAAAAAAATAAGAGTTTGGGGAGAAATAAACAGAGATGTACCTTTGGTTTGTGGAAGGTTGAAAGATGAATGGCTCTGTTTGCCGCCAGGGTTAGATGGATCGTGCGGAACTAAGAGAAAACCGATACTAAGCGACAAAAAGGAAGAAAAAAGGACTAGAATGACATGGAAAAAAGCCTTGGAGACCGAATGTGCGGCCTCATTAAGGACGGGATTCAGTTGTCCCCTAGCCCAGGGCAATGCGAAGCCGGGCAAGCGTATCCAAAACCAGCATTAGCATCAACATTAATTCAATGAGACAATAACGATTTGATATCGAGACTTTGGATAAGTGGAGCTACAACACTGGAGGACAGTCTCTAACACAACAATCAAAAAGTTTTATCATCTATACTTTACGTTCGGAGAAGATTTGTTGGGTTTGATAAACGCCAATTAAAAGAACATCAACAACGCTTGATTTTAAAAGATTCCGGAGGCTAA